CCCCCCACCCCGCGGCCGCCAGACCCGCCGGGTCCCCCCTGTCCCCCCCTGAGCCCGGGCCCACGAGCCAACGCAGGGCCGGGCGCCGCGCCGGCCGCCGCTCCACTTTCCCAAACCTGGGCCGCGGCCGCCTCAGTCTCACGCGCACTGCGCAAACGCGGAGGCCGGCCTAAACCGCCGGGCAGGGTCCAGCTGCGCTCTCTAGCGGCTCGGGAGAAGGACGGGAGGAAGAGGGAGTCGGCCTACCGGGGAAGTGCCAATGGAAAAAGAAGGCGGCCCCTTCGGAGACCTGGCAGAGGCGGGGCCGCCGGCGTGCCTCATTCTTCGCCGCGGATGGCTCTGAGCGCGGCAGTCGCTAAAGCGAGGTGCGGGCGGAGAGCGATTATAGTGCAAGAAACGCCGTCGCCAGTAAGAAACAGGAGGCTTCGTTGTCCTGTAGCCCCGCCACGCTTTGATCCGAGAGGCTGGCTAAGCCTCCGCCGCCCGGTCGTTCGCTCGAGCGTCTCGTAAACTCATCCTCAGTTTGGTACCTTTTAGAAATACTCCCACCATCTCCTTTCCATTAGTTAATGTTGCAAAGGTATCGTGGAGGGTTGACATTCAACACATTTGCTGTCTGCATTGCCGATCCATATCTTGCCTCTGTTTCAAGTCACTGCAAGTCACTTGGGCAGTTCACTCGGGCAAGTCAAGTCTCTTGGGACTTCACCCCAAGGTAATGGGATGGATAATGAAGCCCAACAGCTTTTGGACATCTTGAGGCTGCCCTGGGTTAGGGTTACCAGATACAAGCAAAGGAGGATGCATAATTGGAAAGGAGAACAAATAGTGGGGGGAGGACACAGTAACTGTTTACCTTTCCATGACAAAAATTACAGTGAAAAACTGCAAAAAAATGTACTTGGGTCTGCATGTATATGCAATTGTTTTTTCCAGCATCAGAAAGACGTTTTTCAATCGCAATATTTTTTGAACAAATCTTAAGTATTTTCAAAAACATATGCTAGCAATAACAGAATCTGTGATGATACACTTCAAATTTTACCACAGAAACGTATGATGAATCATGTAATCTAACAGACTACAGTGATCATATATTTGAAGGGACTGGATTGAAACCAATTGCTGAAATCAGAAAATAAATAATGTAAGTCTAGGCTGACAAGTCTCAATGGACAAAGGAAAGAAGCATATAATTTGCAAGGTCACAATACATGAAAGTTTGAATGACTACTGTTGTGAAAACAGTCCTTTAAAAAAAAAAAGACACTCAAAAAGCCAGACAATATTTAATTTTAAGACTATGCTTGCCAGATGGAGGACATGAGGACAAAAATGAGGCCATGTCCTCCTTTTGCCGGATGTCTGGTAACCTTACCCTTGGAAAGTGTTGGAATAAGGGAAAAATAATACTTTAATCCTGGAACAGCTAAGGATGACAAGTCCTTCTCACTTATTGGCTGAATACAAGATGAAAGCAGAGAAAAGGGATTGGCAAGGCAAGTTTGCACCATGATTAGGTACAAATGAAGAAAGAAAGCCATTAAGTGGAAAGGTGGCATCTAGATAATTGAGATTCATAAATGAGAGATATTTATTTAATCAAATTTATATGGCTGCCCATCTCATGCAAAGTGACTCTGAGCAATGTACAATAAAACCAGAGATTAAAACATTCAATAAAAGTCAGTTAAACAATAAACATGGATAAAAATAAGATAAGCAAGGGGGGGAGATACTATGTATAATATAGCCAGTGTTCAGGCTCCCTCTCACCAGGGGATTCCCAGACTTGTTGAAAAAAAACAGGTTTTAAGAACTCTCCAGAAGGTCACAAGGGTGGGGGTCAATCTCATCTTAGGAGGGATGGTGTTACAGAGGGTGGGTGCCACAGCAGAAAAGGTATGTCTCCTAGGTCCTGTCAGATGGAACTCCCTCACGGACAGGACCCACAACATGCCCTTCCTGCAGACCTGATGGGAAGGGTAGATGTAATCGGGAAGAGGCGGTCCCTCAAGTAACCAGGCCCCATGCCATGTAGGGCTTTAAAGGGCAAAACCAGCACCTTGAATTGGAGCTGGAAGCAAACTGGCAGCCAGTGCAGCTCACGGAGCAAAGGTATAACTTGTGCCCCTCTTGTAACTGCCCGTGCCACTGCATTCTGCACCAGCTGAAGTTTCTGGATACTCTTCAAGGGCAGCCTCATGTAGAGTGCATTGCAGTAGTCCATTCCGGAGGTGATCAGGACATGAGTAACTGTGAGTAGAGCCTCACAATCCAGGAACAGGTGCAACTGGCACACAACATAAAAGTTGCGCAAAGGCTGTCTCAATCCCTGGAGCAAATCCAGAAGGATACTGTAATGGTATGTGGGAATGACCTTGGGGGAACAAGACGCAACCAAGGGAACAGTCAGATAAAAGGCAGCTTAACCAGCAGTAGAAAAGACCCTCCCTAATTTGGGGGCTGTAAAGTGGTTCAAGAAGTCAGATTATCACATAGATACAAAGGTAGACTATCAAATGTGCCTTCACTCTTGTGTGATAACTTACACTTACCACATCTTTTATTCTCAGCTGTACCTGCTTTTGTCTCTGGTAACTATCAGTTACTTTAGTCAAGAGGTGGGCAATCCATTGTTGCAGCAATATACAGTTGTAGCACTGACAACCCTCCAGGTTTTGGCAACATGATTTTTCACATTTTTAAAAGAAAATTATGGAAAGTATTATTTTAATTGGATGGTTAAATAGACTATCCAGTTTAGTCTTCTTTCACTTCTGCAGCATATTAACTGAAGTTTGTACTTCTGAGTTTCCATCTCAAACCTTAAAGGATTCAGTTTTAAAGCCTCCCTGATCAAATTCAATATGCTGCTGTTAAATACGCTCTTCCCAGTCCTTATGAGTTATAGCACATCTTGTGCCAGCAGTCCACCATCCAGCTACTGTAGATCATGGTCCCAGAAACTAAATCTCTCCCATTCTGCTGCTGATTGTGATTTTATGTTTTTAAATTGATTATGGACAGTTTTTATGTTTGTATATTGGTTTTTAACATGTTTTTTATTGTTTTTACCAGTTGTGAGCAGCCCAGAGTCACTTAGATGAGGTGGGGTGGCCATACAAATCAAAATCATCATCATCATTATCATCATCATCATCACAGTTGCTGGTCAATGGCGATCACCATTGCTGGTCAATGGTGATAGCCTGGGAGAGGTTAATATCAAGGAGACTCACTACCACCACTACTGTTTGTCATTGCATTGATTCCTCTGTCAGCAATACTGAACAAGTCAGGACATGGCTATCAAACATCAAAAACATCTGCCAGCCTATCCCACCTCCTTTACATGGACAATCTGAAGCTGTATGGAAAAA